TCGTACCAACACGTACTGTTACCTATTTCTATTATAACGGGTAGATAACGGTATACGACAAGCATAACTCAAAAATACAAAACAAAACAAAACAAAAAAAGGATAATAACTGTAATTTAATTGGTAAGAAAATGTCATGTGCAAAAGCAATAAGATGATACGTGTATTTTCAATGCAAAAGTTCAAAATGGGTCATTTGACCCGTTATGGTATGTTTAGTGTTAAACAAACAAACTCTTCAGCTTTATTATATTGGTATAGATTAGAATAAGGGTTCCATAATTAATTCTATAACGGGAACGGCATAAGTGTAAGATGACAAGCGAGCCGGTTCATCGTATCCAGTGGTTCGCCCTGTATGGGCACATCACGCGCCGCCTATCGCTGTTATAACGCGGCTATAAACCGCACACTAACTTTGCTAGAGTGGAGCCCGTAATGAAATAATTAATGCAGAGTAATATCAATGAGCTGTTTTAAGCTTTCGCGGATATCTGCATTTTAAAACAGTATATTTACTCGGCTCTTACTACGACTTTTAATTTTAACGAGTTCTCCGTCTTTCGGCGATGCTATAAACGTCATTATAACGGTAGAATGAAAACATTAAGTGTATGATTATGATTGAAAATTGGCGGGTAGGAGCAAAGCAAATCTTTGATAGAAATTATCGGGAGAGAAATTATCGAAATATCGGGAGCTCATTAAAAGTAAAAGTCGTGATAAGAACTCGTTAAATACTAATTAATGTCTTTCAAATGTAACCAGATACAAAAAAAAATTGTCAAATGGGATGTCTAGTTTAGCTTCAACTTGTGAACCGACGAATCATAACAGTGATGATCGTTAAAGAAACATGCATTTTTTTAAACTTCCCGTGCTCCAATTGGTACTCTGTTTATAATAAATACCACAAAATATAACAGAAAAAAAAAAATTGCTATTTCTCTATTCATTTTCATACATGTATCGTAAATGTAAAATATCCAGCACAAGTAGCATTAGAACATAACTGAAAAATGTTAAAATGAATAATGGAGTTATAAATTGAATTGACTAAATGGCAAAAGTTTATCACGGTTAATAAAGAGAGTCTATAAAATTTTAGTTCATTAAACCTACTTTTACGGTTTAATCTAGAATTTATTATTTTCATTTTATTACTTCCGAAGTTTCTCATCAACTGCCATTGGCGCAATTGATAAAATAACCAACAAAATGTTTATTTTTATATCTTATACCTTTAAACGAGCAATTCTTGTATATTAATATATAAGTATACCTATATAATCTGAATCTCGGAAACGGCTCCAACGATTTTCATAAAAAATTAGTATACAGGGAATTTCGGGGGCGATAAATCGATCTAGCTACGATTTATTTTCAGAAAATGTTGTTTTATTCGTGTTTTCAATAATCAACTCTTCCCGACATCTATTGGCGAATAATACCTAATGCTATATTTCTTTATTGAGGGCAACTGACCGCTTTAAAGACACAACAAGATGGCGTTATCAAAAAAAAAACCGGTCATCATCTAGTGACATCTTAAATAAATTATGTAGATGATTCAAAATTGCTTCCCAGCACTACCCGAGTATGATAACATTACGGAAAAGGTAAATGGCTCATACAATTGTTGCAATGGGCCACTCTAGGCTACTTTTGTTAGAGAAGCAATCCTGCCCTAATGGGTCGATCCTGGCCACTGGCGAGACTTACATGGTGTCAATTGATATGCAGACTTGTAACTGAACGGCGTTGAATAACCTCTCTAAACTAGCGTCGCAATTTCAATTCACTTTGTTAAACTATAATACAGGTTTTGATTGGGCTTATTATGGGAAACAAATGACTTGTTTATGATATTATTATGTTCTTTAGTACTGATTTCACGCCCACAGGCGGTAAAGATGCCAATATGTGTGGCTCGCGTTCAAATATTGTTGGTTTTGTTGTCATGTAAACAACTTAATGTTTAATTTAAATAAGTTGTTCTATAAATATCATCTCTCGGGATTTTACATAGTATGTAATATTTATTAAACTTTAATATGAAGGTGGAGTTCATCCTATTACCAATTTCAACCGCGAAAGAAACTGTATTTAAGCTTTTTTTTATTGCGTAGATGGGTGGACGAGCTCACAGCCCACCTGGTGTTAAGTGGTTACTGGAGCCTATAGACATCTACAACATCTACCCACCTTGAGATGTGAGTTCTAAGGTCTCAATACAGTTACAACGGCTGCCCTACCCTTCAAACCGAAACGCATTACTGCTTCACGGCAGAAATAGGGAGGGTGGTGGTACTTACCCGTGCGGACTCATAAGAGGTCCTACCACCAGTAATTATGCAAATTATAATTTAGCAGGTTTGATTTTTTATAATATTAGCCGAGTTATTATAATATTAGCCGTTATTACAAATCAATGCAGATTGAACATATTTTAAAGGAGTAGTAAGTACCCTCACCGCAAATCAGTTTTGGTGTTTTAAGTCCAACGTTTGCACCCCCCATTCAATCCACCACTACCAACCGGTAGTAAAAAAAAAACATCGTGACCTCAGTTATATCATTAAAATAAATGTTTAATGTTATAAATAGCGTGAGCATCAAAATTCTTTCCGAGGTCAAAGTTCGAGAATTCGTCTGCAGCCCACGTTCATGCGTCATATCACACATGCGCCAGCACGATTGTCGCGAGCGCGCCCTACGATAAGAGGAACATTAGGTCCGTTCACAACTAACTAAAACTATCGAGATCCACGAATGCAATAATTTCTATTCCGCAATATGTTTTATCGATTCCCTTATTAAATTTAATATTTGTGTGCACACGTTATCGTGAGGCCGAATGTCAGATCGTTTCGTATTTGATACGCATTTCGAAATATGAATTTAAGATATGGTAGAACAGTTTTAGTACTAATTTCGTGAATAGCATTCCGGATAATTTTTTTTTTAATTGCTTAGATGGGTTGTCGAGCTCACAGCCTACCTGGTGTTAAGTGGTTACTGGAGCCCATAGACATCTACAACGCAATTGCACCACCCACCTTGAGATATAAGTTCTAAGGTCTCGAGTATAGTTACAACGGCTGCCCCACCCTTCAAACCGCAACGCATTACCGCTTCACGGCAGAAATAAGCAGGTATTGTGTCAAGATATTTATGCGATAAAAGGTGATAGTTAATGTTATGTAACATCACTACGAAAAAAAAAAAACTTTATTTCAGGCCAACATTTGTATTGTTTAACATGAATAATATGAAATCCTCCTTTTTGTGTTTACCTGACTGTCTGATTATACTTAACGAACGTAAAAATTGCTTAATATTACACGTGCTGTTGTTTTAAAATGACCTATCGATTTGTTACTAAAATACTACCGCATTATTTAGACCTCAAATGACTTCTCGATAAAAATCAGCCTTCGAATACTTGCGATAGTTGAGTATTTATGTTATTAACTAGCACGCGTCCGTTGTTTTGTTTATAGACAAGGTCATCTTTTTTAAATGTAAAAATGATTTTGTTGCAGTACTACTAATAATTAATATTTGTCTGATTGTTTTAAACTTTCGCGGCAATCTACATTACATGCCCTAATCTACCTATGATCATATCCCTTTTAATCTTTTTCTTACCTATGCTGATAGCCTTGAGAGGCTATTTCAGCTTCACCCTAACGTGTGTAGGTGAGCTCACGGGGCTCAGCTGGAGTGTTGCTAACGCTGACCCTAGCAAGAGTAGTGCTTCGCAGAATTTACCACCGGATCGGAAACGCGACCCACTGAGAAGATCCGGCGAGAAACTCAGTGGGCTGTGTCTATGGGTTAATTCGCTCGTCGAGCCCTTCGTCGCAAGCGACGGGTTCGACGAGGACGGTGAGCGGTGCTTGTGGTCCCTAAAAGCACCAATCATATCATGGTGCGTGCAACAGCGTCGAAATATTGACAACTTATTAGATAGGAAAATCGCGGTAGGAACATGAATATTTTTAGCTTTAAATTTTCTTGGTAGCTTACTGTTTTTTTTTTTCATTGTTTATTCGCCGTAAAAGAAAGAAAAATGTGTAACAATCTAAAATGTCGAGAACTCATTCAATGTGAAAATCGTGGTAAGACCCCTTAAATAACAGTATTATTATTGTAAACATACTGTTCGGACAGTTACGATTTGTATATGTATAAATTGATTTAGGTATACAACGCAATATAAACGAGTCCCTTATCACAGAACAATCACTTTTGATGAAATAAAATCGATACGTTCACGACTTTGACTGAAAATAAAATAAAATAAAAACAGAATATGTAAAAATCATGTTTCAGTTCCTGATTTATTTATTATGGAGAATAGTTGAAAGCGAAAACTATATAATAGGTATTTATTTCTTTTTTATATTTTGGATATCAGTAGCATAAAGTCGGATCATTTAAATTTTTTTTTTTTATAATTTCAGTCAATAAGAATGCATACTTAGAAAATGGATTTCAAAATGTTTTAGAAAAATACGTGCATACAATAAAACGTTTGTCAGGTAACGTACTTTTCTTATGTTGATACAGAATGTATGAAAAAATGTTAGTTTATTTTAAGGTTATTTCATTAAATTATTCTATTCGATATTCGATAATTAGCGCTGCGTAGACAAGCGCTGTCTTGTCTAGCCAAGATAATTCCTATTTTAAGTACTTTTAATAGGGTTTATTTTAAGTCAGTTTTGCTGTGTTCTGCAGGACAGCTTGTACAGTGGCACTGTACAAGGACAGTTACTAACACAATTGAGGCTTCAATTCTCATAACTTAAAGAGGGCAGTATTATGTAGGACCATGAGACATTAGCTTGTTTGTAAACCTTTAGAATTATAATAGAAACTTTAAAATGCGATTTATTTCAGAGGAACTTCCAAATCATGCATTAGAAGTGCAAATCGATATTACAAGAAATGTTGCGAACGACCCTGAAGCTCTTGTAAAGAAATACTTACAAATGCATAGGCCATGGCTCAGCAGTAAGTTTCAGTTACATCTTTTACAACATTTAATAGCAGTGTCATATTATCAATGGGCACATTGGCGGTTACTAATTTATTTATACAAAAATAGTCGATTATACTTTTTTTATTGCCGTTGTAGGCAGACGAGCATACGGCCCTCCTGATGGTGAGTGGTTACCGTCGCCCATGGACTTCAGCAATGCCAGGGGCAGAGCCAAGCCGCTGCCTACCAAATGATAGATTTGTGGTATTTTTTTTACTATTAAGGAGCCTATACTAGATAGTGGTTCGCTTATGTTACAATGCTCATTGGCGTGAGGATTTCAACTAGGTAGTCTGAATCCTTCGATACCAATTGCAGACTATTCGTACTTTTTCTGCCCTCATCCCACTATGTGTGATCGACGCAGCATGTCCTCGTGTTCCATTCAGGTAGACCTCACGTATCCTCACGTATGCCGTACGTCATCTCTGCACTCACACCCTTCTCTCTCTCTCTATCTCTCTCTTGTCCCACAGTCCATCCAAGTCTTGGAAACATTTATAATGTTATATATTAGGTTAGGTGTTATGTCCTTTTTCATTTAAAATACATGGAATGATCCTTCGAGAATTGAGCCCTATAATGATTTCTGCAAAAATACACAAATCATAACTGCGAATTAAACATAATAATATGTAACGCAAATAATTACCCTTTTTTCTTTCTTTTAGGACGAATCAACGATGAAAATAAAATCAGTAAGTTACTAAGGAAATTTAAATCCAAAAAAAATCAATTTTATGTGTTTAACAGAAATGCTATATAATAATTAGATATCTACTAAAAGATCACAAATGATTTCGTTTAATTATAAAAAAATCTACAAGAACTATGAAAACTTCGGAGCTTGATCATATAAAATACTAGCTGTACTGGTCCACTTCGCTGGGCATTTAAAATTAGCATTATTATTTCTCACCCCCACAAAGATTCTCATCATTAGCGCCCCCGCAACTGGTGTAGGGAGTCCAACACTCATATAAATATTAGCCTATCCATTAAGTACATGTATTATCTATTATACATGGATACAAGTTACAAGTCGATCGGATGCATGGTTCAGTAGTTATAACGGAACATCCGTAAAAACCACTGTAGATTTATATATTATTATAAAATATAGTAATAAAATTATTTCGATCCAGAATTCTTTTCAACACAATTAAACAAAAAATAAGCAGGTTTCTTAACTACAATTTTAAATAGCTGTTTTAACTAAAATTGCTATACGAATTACAGATGCTAGCATAGTCACAACGTCTGAAGCTCCGGAAATCTCTTCCACAGTTGGTAAGAATTACGTCAATTTTTTTTTTTTTTTTTATAAAACTCCTTGAAGCAGTAATGCCTTTCGGTTTGAAGGGTGGGGCAGCCGTTGTAACTATACTGAGACCTTAGAACTTATATCTCAAGGTGTTTGGCGCATTTACGTTGTAGATGTATATGGGCTCCAGTAACCACTTAACACCAGGTGGGCTGTGAGATCGTCGACACATCTAAGCAATAAAAAAATTTAAACATTTTATGCGTACGTTCATGATGTAAAATCAATCTATGAAGTTTGGATCGCGATTGTTTTGCCAGGTAACATGTAGCAAAGATGAGTATATTACATAAACATATTATAGAAAGTTATTCGAGATAATAATGGAATCCAACTCATTTATTACCAGACGCTGCTGATAATCACCGCCAGACATTTATGTCTGCTAATCTTAAATGTAATTTTACTTTTGTCATAGTATAATAATAATTTTCTGGCGATCACAAGCTCTTATACTATAAAGTGATAAAATTAATTTTACATTATCATTTTAAGGTCTTAAAAAAAAGTTAGTTTACATGGAAGATTTAAAAAAGGCTCTAGATGAATTTGAAAAGAAGCTTGACCGTGGCAGCTCTACCACAAATAGCAACCAGTATGCTTCCACGAATCATTTCAATCAGAACGTTAACCGTATTATGGAAATATTGAAGAAAGGTAAACGGGAAGTCGTTTTTCATACATATTTAAAGGAATAACATCGTGCAATAAAAATCAAACCCGCAAAATTATAATTTGCGTAGTTACTGGTGGTAGGACCACTTGCGAGTCCGAGCGGATAGGTACCACCACCCTGCCTATTTCTGCCGTGAAGCAGTAATGCGTTTCGGCTTGAAGGGTGGGGCAGCCGCTGTAACTATACTGAGACCTTAGAACTTGTATCTCAAGGTGGGTGGCGCGTCTACGTTGTAGATGTCTATGGGCTCCAGTAACCACTTAACACCAGGTGGGCTGTGAGCAGGTCCACCCATCTAAGCAATAAAAAAAAAAAAAAATTTAAATGCATTGAAATTGTCTTATTCTATTTTAAGATGAAATCACAAATGTATCACTATTGACCAAGTATGCCGTATACTTAAGGAGATAGCACCACTTATTGTCGAACGCCACTTAGTCGAAAAAAGTGATGAGACTATACCAGCCTACAGACTTCGCTGGAAGCTATTAAATTTTCTAAATATGTATTAAACGTACCCAAGGCGATGAAGGAAGAACGTATAGAATAAACCTAAGCATTATATATAAAAAGTTAACTCTGCAAAATTGTGAACCCCACTCAAGAATGTATCGTCTTTCAGTCGACTCCTATATCCGCATGCATCATGCTTTCCCCCTTTAATGGGCGTAACAGCCGTAATCCATTATAATTGACACATCTACAAAGAGGGCGACGGCTTTTGATATGATGTCAATAATTTACGGTGATCACTTTTTTTTATTGCTTAGATGCGTGGACGAGCTCACAGCTCACCTGGTGTTAAGCGGTTACTGGAGCCCATAGACATCTACAACGTAAATACGCCACCCACCTTGAGATATAAAATATCAGATAAGCCATGAGTGAGTATGGTCTAGGGTAATTAAAACATCAACAACAAAATGGGTTTCAGGTGTCCACGTGGAGACGAGCGTTCCAGAACCACATGATGAAAATCTAGATTGGATACAAATAAAAATACCGAAGGACATGTGAAATTAAATTCACCTGATCTTGCAATTTTCTGTCTGATTCACGTCTAATAAAATGTGATTTCGATCAATGACATGTTATATGTGTCATTTAGTATCTACGATATTATTTATTTAACATTATTTAAAAACAACCTCATCATTTATTATTCGCAATTGATTGATTGTTTAATTATTTACTGGTGGTAGGACCTCTTGCGAGTCCGCACGGGTAGGTACCACCGCCCCGCCTATTTCTGCCGTGAAGCAGTAATGCGTTTCGGTTTGAAGGGTGGGGCAGCCGTTGTGACTATACTGAGACCTTAGAACTATATCTCAAGGTGTGTGGCGCATTTACGTTGTAGATGTCTATGGGCTCCAGTAACCACTAAACATCAGGTGGGCTGTGAGCTCGTCCACACATCTAAGCAATAAAAATAAAAAATAAAAATTTACACAGTTTTGGCTTCCGTCATTGTATTGAGATTTTTTTTTCCTTTGTAGACAGACGAGCGCATATGGCCCACCCGAAGGTGTGTAGTTACCATTGCTCATGGATTTCAGCAATGGCAGGGGCAGAGCCAGGCCGCTGCCTACCGTTAAGGCCAAGGCCGGATGGTACGGCCCTTTTCTGTATGGAATCAAGTAGAAGTACCTGGTATTTGGGAGCCTCGGTCCCGAGGTGGAAGCAGTGCTCCACGTAGGCCGGTATTGACTTTTGTAAAAAAGTCTGTCCATGTGTGAAGTACCGCTTCGCTCTGTTAAGGACTCCCAGTATATTATGGACAATTGTTTTACGATCTTATTAATGAACTTGCAACAAATCATAGCATACACCGAGCTTATCTATTTCGATCATACTTGAAGCTAGCGGTTTGATTTTGTTTCACAACGGTATTTCTCTATGACAGACTTTATTAATAAATTCGTGTGTACATGGGTACGTACCTACTTACTACGACGTTAACATAGTTCCTTTCCCAAATTCCGAACGGTAGTACATTCATATTATGTCTTAGGCCGACGCCTTCAGCTCTTACACTAGGAGCTGGCTTAGGGACTCCGGTAGCCGTACTCGTCGAACTTGATAAAGAGTTCAACGTGCAACGTGTAACGTAAACGTCAGCCTGCTGAGTTTCTTGCAGTATTTTCTCAGCGTCTCAGCGATTCGGTAGTAGATTCATTCGCGAAGCAGCTGCTCTTAAGTTGTTAGGTCTCCTTCGGAGGCACTCAGGCAACTATTAGTAAATCCCACCCATCCTGGCTGAGCATTTGCTCGCCCACCTGTCCTGGTGAAACTGGAAAGGCCTTCGGGTCACCAGTAAACCTTCAATAAAAATAAAAAAATTAGACCCCGGGCGCATTATTGTTAAGTACGTACCATTATTAATGGCTAATAAATAAGTCAGTAAGCCGCAAACTTGCTGTATATAAATGTCACCACTACTTAATTAGGCATCGTCTTTTATTTTTTACTGCAATTATGCAGACGGCCAGAGACAATCCATGGCGAGTGTTATCTTGAGGCATGAGAAAAAAGTCTCAAATACATTGTATAACGGGTATCCTATCCTTCAAACGGGAACGTAAGACGCGCGGCACAAACAGACAAAAGTCTGTGTATTCAAACAGGGGACTGACTTATGCGACTTTCCAATACATACCCATCACCATCATCATCATCTCAGCCTGTCCACTGCTGAATATAGGCCTCTCTAATTGATGTTCACAGCGGCCGATCCGTTGCCACTGGTAGTAGGACCTCTTGTGAGTCCGTACGGGTAGTTACCACCACCCTACCTATTTCTGCTGTGAAGCAGTAATGCGTGTCGGCTTGAAGGGTGGGGCAGCCGTTGTAACTATACTGAGACCTTAGAACTTATATCCCAAGGTGGGTGGCGCATTTACGTTGTAGATGTCTATGGGCTTCAGTAACCACTTAACACCAGATGGGCTGTGAGCTCGTCCACCCACCTAATAAAAAAACCTGCATCCAGCGAAACACAACTATTCCCACTAGTGTTAAGTTTGTATACACAACTATTTTAAAACAGCCAATTATGCCAAATTTGGTTACAATACAGACTATCCTACGTAAATATTTTATGAGCACTTGTACATTAGCACTTACAAGCGTTATAAGACCCGGAAGGTGTCAACATATATCGAAATATACAAAGATCACATATAAAAAACGATTTTAGCACTCGAAGGACACGTTGCAAACATTAGGCGAACAATGAGCCAAGCCAAACTGTTACTTGTATAAAACTAATCATTTATAAATGCTACTATCTGACCTCACGTGGCATGCAACACACAAAAATTAACTACTACTGTTATTTATGAGTCTCGCTCAAAGATAATTTTCTGTAATATTATTAACTCATCGAACTTGACTGACGTTAACGGTCATATTCATAGTCCGTATCTGTTTTGTTCATTATTATTGTATGGTATGCAATAATAATGAACAAAACATGATGGTACAATCCCATAAAGGTTTCGTTTTTTACCCTTGGATTGCAATCCTGAAAGCAATAAAAAGAGCTGAACTTTAAAATATTAAATTAAAGTAAGCTTTCGTCATTAGGATTTAAAAAATGCGTGTCAGCTTCGACGCGCGAATGTAGTTTATCCTTTAAGTATGCTGTTAATGAATATTCAATGGTTATAAATGATGCATGAGCTGTCGGATACATGTATATTATATTCTGATTAGTTGCACCTCGTCGTCGGCTCAGCTCCTATCCGGTGCAGGTACTTCCCGAAGTCTCATTATATTGTATAATACTAATATAATACCCCTCGACCTGGTATTCGTAAATGGATTCCACAGCGTTAAAAAAAAAAAAGGTCGTTCCCGAAGCATCCGGACCAGGTCAGCACCTGCATCAGACGAAAGGTGAGGCGTCCTGCGCCACCATTCACCCAGTCATCACAGAAAATTTGGCTACACTAACTCAATATAATAAAAAATTATTACTAAAATAAAGGAAAACAATTGATGTTTAAAAGTGTTAGAACTAAGTCTATTTGTTATTTTTCTTGATTGAAAAATCGTAACGATTTTTTCAGAATGTTATTTTTAGTGTTTATAAAATTGTGCAACTGGAGTCTTTAAATGAAAACGCTTCTAAAAGAGTAAACTCTAAATAAAAAAAACGGCGCGCGTGCAACTCGGTGCACGTGAATGAAGTGAAGCTTCTTTTTCGATGCGTAGTATTGTGGTTTTCTTCATTTTTCATCCTTAAATCAGATTGCTCTTGTAATAGGGAATGCTGTATATAAGAGATGCGGCATCTACAACATTTATATTATGTATATTTTAAATTATAGATAGAAAAATAAATATCTATATTTTTAAGAACTTCATTAAAATATTGGATGCTACTCGTTGCTAACGCTCGCGCTGGCCTGTAACAGGTATACTACGTGCGTGCGTTCGAGTGCCACGCATCCACTCTCACTCTGTCTCTTTCTAGCATGGTAACGTTAAACGTTTAACGCAATCTTGTTAGAAGTCGCATTAGAAGTTTCACTTCAAAAACTTTCCACAGGGCTGTGAACGGCAGGAGTTTTTGGTGAGGTTCGACTCCCACATACCGGGATCCGGCGATATTCTCCTGTGGAAAAAAAAATCGATTTTGATTTTAGATACTTTGTCACGATAAACCGAACTATGAATACAATAAGTTTGCAACAGTTGAGTAAAAGCACAGCTTGGGTAGGTGACCTCTCGGCGTAGATCTGTATCGCTCGGACTGAATGTCGACCAGCACAATTATTACAGTATTCGTTTAAGGACAACAGAGCCTCATTATTCTTTGTTTAAAAACAAAAGCAATTTCAAATGTAATTGTTTGTGAATTTTTGGGTATTAATTACAATATTATTGTTTTATACTCGTTATCGGTTATAATATTATTATTTTTTTTAACATTTAATATACACTTGGTAATATTAGTTCGCATTATACTCGTAATAAAGTACGGTGATTTAAGTACATATTTTTGAATGAAGCCAGTTATTAAGTCAATTTGTTTAACAAATAGATTTTATGAGACAATTTTGTTATCACAATTCCAATCAACTGAATCCTAATCTTATCTCTGCTAAAATACGGTTTTGAATACAGAAGCAGATTTTTTTTGTTACAGTATGAAAGGGTAAATAAATTACATAGTATTATCTTGTAATACTACAGAGATAAGGCGTATTTAAATGTTTATGTAAATTTGAATAGGTACCTCGTAATTAAATTAATATGATAAACTTGACCTTTAAAGAAATTGAAACATTTAAAAAATCTGATATTAGTCATCATTCGTTAAAAAATTAGCCTGTTTACAATTCGATTATAATAATTAACGCTCAACAATAATAACTTTTCATTTGTTTTTGAATAATACAAAGAAACTGGTTAATCTGCGTAACACTAGAGTCGCGCTATTGAAGTCAGGAGAAAATCGCCGGACTCCCACCCTCCACTGGGGATGGAGGGTGGGGCATGTCGGAGTCGAACCGACTAAAACCTCCTGTCGCTCAACAACCAACGTCCAACCCTCGCATGAGACAGAACTCATGAAAAGGCAAGGGGAGGAGAGTGAAGCGTTTAGTGCGGAGCACATCTCTCCCATCACCCTCCCCCTCGGGACGCCGGGCCAGCGATCGTCGGCGCCACGACCACCAGCNAGCATACGGCCCACCTGATGGTGAGTGGTTACCGTCGCCCATGGACTTCAGCAATGCCAGGGGCAGAGCCAAGCCGCTGCCTACCGCTTAATACTCTCCACAAGCCTCGTTTGAAGAAGGACATGTCATAGCGCTCGGGAAACACCGTGGAGGGGAGCTCATTCCATAGCCGGATGGTACGTGGCAAAAAAGACCTCTGGAAACGCACTGTGGATGACCGCAGTGGCTCCAGGTAGTATGGATGAACTCTACTCCGGTGGCGGGCGGCGCGATGGTAAAAACGAGATGCCGGTATCATCTCGAACAATTCCTCAGAGCACTCCCCATGGA